CCTCGTCAAGAGGGAGCAGGGAACAGGGCCCAGGACACCAGAGTGTCCCCTCCTGCCAGGGCCAGACTGGGAACCAGGGACCTGAAGCCTCTGCCCCAGTGCAGAGCATCTCCCCATCTCCACTAACAGACCCAGTCATCCCCGAGGAGATGGTGCCCAGGAGCCTGGGGTCTTACTTGGCCAGAGCCTTTCCCGGCGGGTCCATGAGGGTGTGCCACTTGGAGGAGTCTGTCAGCAGGTTGGGCAGGATGTGGCCCAGCAGGGTCAGTGTCAGCTGCTGCATGTCCAGGCAGAAGATGGCATAGAGCAGCTCCACGGCCCGCAGCGTGTGCTCCTTCCGCGTCTCCTTCAGCAGCTCCTGCGAGGCAGAGGGCAGGGCTGAGGGAGGCAGGGGCACAGCAGGGCTGTCCCAGCAGCCAGCCGAGCCACAACCAGGACTCGTGGGCACCAGGAGCACCAGACCCCCAGTTCTGTCCTCAACAGTGCTGGGATTCACACCCACCTCCCTCCTCCACCCCATACCTTGACCAGGTTGTTGCAGAACCAGTAGACGCCTCCCATGTGGAGCAGGGTGTCGAAGATGTGGATGGAGTGGCTGTCGACCCAGCCCTTCTCCAGCACCTTGGTGAACACGCTCATCAGCACCTCCTTGATGGGCTTCTTGGGGGGCAGCAGGTTCCAGTAGGGGATGGTGTCCATGCCCGTCGAGGGGAACTTGATCTGCGTGGCCGTCTGCTGCAGGACGTCGGCACACATGTGCTCCAGGATGGAGCTCATGATCACCACACTGCGGCAGAGGGACAGCGTCACGCAGGCCCAGAAGGGGAAGGAGAGGAGGAGATGGCACAGCCTGGCACGGCACAGGGCCTGGCAGGGGCACAGGGGCTGGCAGGGGGCCTGGCACCCCGGAGCTCACCGCTCGTTGTAGAACTGCAGCGTGTTGTCTCCGTACAGGGGGGTGGCCAGCTGCCGGATCATCTGCAGGGACTTCTCCCGCTCATCCAGGCCCAGCATGCGGACGTGGGCCACCAGCCAGGCCACAGCACACACTGCCATGCTGCACACCTTCCCCTTGATGTTGTCTGTGATTTTCTGGGAGGGGAGATGGGAGTGGAGGTGGGTGAGCACAGTCAGCTCCCCACCCGAGCCCCCCAGCAAGCTCCGGAGGCTGCCGGAGCGTTCAGAGCAGGAGAGGAGAACCCTGGGCTCCTGCCCAAGCCCTGGCCCCTCCTCAGGCACAGCTGGTGCCCCTGCACCAGGCCCACCTGGATGGACTCAAAGGTCAGCACGCCGTTCTCCCAGGCGTTGAGGATCTCCAGGATGGCAGCTGAGATGCTCAGACAGACCTCGTGCCACTTCATCTGCCTGCCAGGGAAGAGGGAGGCGGGGGGGAGATGTTCAGGCACTCAATTCAGAGCCACAGGGACAGGGAAGGTTGGGGTGGGTGCACAGGCTGAGCTCTTACACCAGCTTCATCTGGGAGGAGTTGTTGAGGAGGGCGACCAGGGACTCGACCTTGGTGGAGTCGGGGCGGAAGCAGGGGTGGTCGGGGTTGAGGATCTTCCCCTCCTCAGGCATGCAGGTCAGCATCCAGGTCTCAAAGAAAGGCACCTCACCTGGCGGGCTCGACTCCGACAGGATCACCTGGAAGGCAACAGCCACAGGGTCTGTCACACGACCTGCATCCTGCTGGAAACAGGGGTTACTGAGCCGGGAGCAAAGGAGGCTCAGGGGAGACTTTGCTCTCAACAGCTCCTGACAGGAGCCTGGAGAAGGTGGGAGCTGGGTCTCTTCTCCCAAGGAACAAACAATAGGACGAGAGGAACCAAACTCAAGTTGCCCCAGGGGAGGTTGAGGTTGGAGCTGAGGAACAATTTCTTGCCCTGGAGGGTTGCCCAGGGCTGTGCCAGGCTGCCCAGGGCAGTGGTGGAGGCCCCACCCCTGGAGGGGTTCCCAAGACGTGGAGATGTGGTGCTGAGGGACATCGTTTAGTGGGGACCTGGCAGTGCTGGGGGTATGGTTGGACTTGATCTTAAAGGTCTCTCCCAACCAAAATGACTCTGTGACCCTGGTGGGGACCCCCACCCTGTGATGGGACCCCCACCTGGGGCGCTCATGGCCAGGAGAACAGCGCCGCCCTGTGGCCTTCACTGGTCAGCCCCCAGTGAGGCACTGGTTTCATCTGTGGGCTGTGTGGTTTTCCCTCTCCACCAGAGGACTCCCCGGGAGGACCATGGCTTCCCTCAGCACCAGTGTCCATGGGCTGCGAGCGTGGCAGGGAGGTCAACACATCCTGCCCAGAAAGGGCCACTCATCCCCCAGGCTCTGAGCCGGGCTGGGGGTCCCCAGCAGGGGCTGGCCCGTGGCTCAGCAGGGTCGGGGTGCAGAGCCTGGAGCAGGGGAGCACAGCCTGG